AGCGACTCTGGCTCTAGAGTGTCGTCAACGCGAAATCGCCTTGGAAACTTCACACTTCACTCAACGCCAGCAAGCTACTGCCAATCTTCCCGTCAGTTTTAATATATCACATGCAAGTAAGTTAATGCCATCCTTTGTAGAAGCAGAAGTTGATGTGTTCTTTACCACCTTTGAAACCCTTGCTAATCAACTCAGTTGGCCTGTCGACCAATGGGCCACACTTCTCAGAGTCCATCTTACAGGTAGAGCTGCAGTCACACTCAGTACTTTGGCGTCTGAGAATGACTACCACACTCTGAAACAAGCAGTGTTGGACGCCTACCTCCTCTCTACTGAAAGTTATAGAAGGAAATTCCGTGACCACCTGAAGGCAAGTACCACTACCTTCCTCGAGTTTGCTAACACGAAACGGAGGTATTTCATGAAATGGCTGGAAGCAGCACATGTCTCTACTTTTACAGAACTCGTCAACCTGATGCTTGTTGAAGAATTCTTGAGGCGTGTGCCGCCTCCTGTCCGCCTCTACTTAGCAGATAAAGAAGAAACCGACTACCTGAAGTGTGCTAAGTCGGCTGACACTTACAGCCTCATCCACCGGCTGACACCCGAACCATCCTCCAGTAAAAAGTCGTGGTACAGTTACGAGAAAGTGAGCCCCGATCAAGCTGGTTCACAACTGTACTGCAAGTATTGTAGACTCTATGGACATACCATAGACAAGTGTGGTAAGTCTCAATACAAGGGAACCACTGAACAACAAAAACCCAAACCAACTCCTCCTAAGTCCGGTAAGCCTGTGATGAATGTTGGTGTTAATGTTAATGATCTTTCTCTTTTCAGTAACCACCTGTATACTGGAACTGTCTCTGCCAACGGTTCAAATCCGGAGGGACGTTTCAAATTGAAGATCTTGAGGGACACAGCGGCTCTTCAATCGATCATCTTGAAGTCGGCTGTGCCCAACATCGTCTACACCGGAGAAACTGTCTTCATCACTGACCTCACTGCTACCACTCCATACCCTCTCGCCAGAGTCCACCTGGATTGTCCCTACGTGAACGGAGAAGTCCAAGTCGCCGTCAGGGAAAAGCTTTTTCCCATGCCTGGAGTGCAACTTCTCCTAGGCAACGACTTGGCAGAAGACCTGCAACCGACCAACCTGATCGTCATGGACAAACCCCAGGTGTGTAACTCTGTGCCAAGTAACCCTATTCTAGCGTATGTTCCAGCAGAGGTTCAAGAGAGTGATGAAGTTTCTCCTCCGGTTCTCGTGACCACCCGTGCACAAGCCGCACGTCCACAGCCAGCTGACTCTACTGCTACCGCTGTCCCTCAAGACCCTCAGAAACTACCCCCGCATCTGACCAAGTTGGAGTTCCGTAAGTTGCAGAGGGAAGATCTTACTTTAACACCATTGTTTTTCCAGGCTGAGACTCAACCCGACAGTATTCCTGGGTTCTTCCTAGAGAACGACTTGCTCTACCGCAGATATAGACCCAGTAAACTGAAGGAGGATTATTGGGCCAACATCGAACAACTTGTGATTCCTACCAGCCTGCGGCCCACTATTCTACACCTGGCTCACGGAGCGCTCTCCCACTACGGCTTCAACAAGACTTACCATGGAATTCGTCAAGACTACTACTGGCCAGGTATGGTAAATAACGTCAAACAGTACGTAAAACAGTGTCATACATGTCAGATGGCAGGCAAACCGAACATCTCCATTCCCAGAGCGCCACTGATTCCCATACAGGTGCCTGCGGAACCTTTCCACAGACTCATAATAGACTGTGTTGGTCCTTTACCTCGGACCAGTTCAGGTAACGCCTACATCCTAACCATCCTGTGTCCTACCACCAGATTTCTCATAGCAGTTCCAGTGAAGAACATCACGGCTGCTACAGTTGTAAAACATCTATTGAAGATTTTCACTCAATACGGATTTCCCAGGGAGATTCAGAGCGACTGTGGTACCAACTTCACCAGTGATCTCTTCAAAAGGACACTGGAGGAGTTCAACATCAAACAGGTATTGTCCAGCCCCTATCATCCTGCTTCACAGGGTTCTCTTGAACGTAGTCATCAGACAATCAAAGCACTCTTGAAAAAGTTTTGTAGTGAAACCTCTAAGGATTGGAATAAGCAGATTGACCTTATAATGTGTATTTACAGAAGTCTCCCAATGAGTCCCTAGGAGTATCTCCTTATGAGATGCTCTACGGCCGTAAGTGCCGTACTCCCCTTAAGGCTTTCAAAGACTCTCTCCGAGATGCCACCTTCAGTGAGCATCAGAATGTGCCCCAGTTTCTTCAAAACCTTCAACACATTCTAGAGAGAGTCCACCGTTTTGCCCATGATAATCTATTGAAAGCCCAGGAGAGAATGAAGACTCATTACGACCAGACCAGCAAAGTAAGAAAATTCAAGCCGGGAGACTTCGTCCTTGCATACTTCCCTATCCCAGGTTCACCTTTACAAAACAGGTTTTCAGGACCCTACCGCGTCAAAGAGTGCAGAAATAACAACTACGTCATAGAGACTCCAGATAGGCGGCGGAAGACCCAGCTGTGCCACGTCAACCTCCTGAAGCAATATAATGGTACTCCTCCCACTGTCCTGACTAACTGTTCTACCTTCACAGAACCCTACATCCACAGTGAGACCTTCCCAGCTTCTCCTCCCGAAAGCACTGACAAGGAGTCAGCGCTTTCTAATTCCGAAATCCCTAATGATCTTCCCAAATACTTTCAGGATAATAATAGTGCTCCTTTGCCATATTCTAATTCCACTCTCACCTCGTCAGATAAGCCCTTCACCCTCCATGTCGACACCAGTGGTACCGACGTTGGTGGTGTCGTGATGCAGCAACGAGGCGAGGAGAATACACCTGTCAGCGACTACTGCTACAAGGAACTACGGAACAATTGGCAAGGAGCTACTCTTCCTCATCCTGAAGCTTCAGCACTTCACTCCACACCTGAAAAGTGCTCGGTCCATCATCAACACGGACCACACCACCCTACACCTCCTGCAGCACGCCCACTTCTCATCTCAACGTCTTCTACTATGGGCTTGCTAACTGCAGAAATTCAACCTGGAGACACGCTATACCAAGATTCCGACAACATCTTAGCCAATGATCTCTCCAGAGTTTATGAAGTAGAAGCGACTCCATCCATTACTCCACCACATAACGACGTACTTCTTCCAGAACCGCAGGCTTCGGGGGAGAGTTGTGACGATAATCTCCTTCAAGAGATTGAGCCTGCTCTTCCCTCCACAAATACGTCGTTACATCTATATAAAACTACTAAGGAAGAAATGTCCAACAACGACAACAACACCAGCAAGGTTTGCCAGAGAGCAAAACGTATGCAGCCAGGAACACCTGCTCAGACTCAAACCGCCAAACTACCCGTCTTGCTGCCGGCTCCTCGCTGATTGGTCGCCGGTCTGGCTGCAACTATACTCCCCCCCCCCCATACTACTTGATGTCTGGGGCCGCCACGACCTCAGTCCTCAGAATATTCAGTGCTTTCACAGTTAACACTTCTCCCTGCTAGACGTAAGCTTTGGCGTACGTGTACTAAGAGAGGTGATAGCTTAAAGCCAATATTCCCGCATCTCTCATTTACTTGTATATTGCACTTCTTGTTATTTTGCTCACCTGTCTTAACGTAACTTTTCATTGTGTCATTTAATTATTCTTATTATTTTGATTGATTGATTTTATTATACGAATTTGTTTGTCCATTTTATTCATGTTTTGTTTATTTAACGTAATTAAAATTTCATTGTTAAAGTTTACTTGTGTTTTGTGTGTCTTCTCCTTACCTTACCACAGACGAAGTTCCAGATTTTCTATTTTTTTTAATACTATGTGACGAGGCCATACCCCTAGCTTTGAACAGCCGAACACCAACGCGTTACCGTCACACTCCCTTATCTATCGCATGCATAGAGCCAAGTAACAAGATAGGACAAATGCCTAGGTGGACCTAGGTGAGTTAATATCGTAAATAACATGTGCGGCGAATGGTACATAGAGACTGGGAAGTGCCTGTTGTTAAATAGGAGGAAAATAACACAGACCATTAGGCCTAGCCGCCAAGGAGAAAAGATATATAAGATTTCCCGGGTTAATGGTAGAGCTTGCTAGTGCCTAGATTGCATGTAAAGTCTGCAACAATAGGTTGAAACTACAAGGGTGCTCTTGACATATGGGAACTAGCCGCGGGCAGTGATTGATACACTTGGGGATCCGGCGAAGACCCCCCTCTCCGCAGGCCAGCGCAGCCGGACCCCCTCTCCCGTAGGGCGAGGTGCCGCTGTCCGCAGAGGAAGCTGTTGGCGAGGGATTGATAATAATGTCCTGCCTGACTTAGGGGTAGAACGTGTCACTTTTCCATCCGCCAACTGCCATGATCGCCACCGGCGCGAGGCCATCCTTTGACATCTCCTTTGTACCGCCGTCCTTTGTACTTCGCTATAGTGCGGACCGGGCAGTACTTGCTGTAGGGTTCTGTGCTGAGGGCTAAAGTTGGGGTGCATCCCGCGCTGTGCTTGTAGTAGGCAAAAGCGATGTCGATTCCCGTCTTCGTTAAAGTTATCTGGTTCAGGTGTAGCTTATGTTGCCCCTTCTCCTCGTAGGTCGCCTCCCCCGGATGGAGACAGGCGTGGAAAGCCAGAGGGAAGAGCACTCGGTAGCCACAGACCCCTCCCAGGGGCTCCCAGCAGTCGATACAGTAGGTGCCTGAAGCACACACCGGGTCGCAGGTTGCAGAGAGTCGAGCAACGTCCTCACAGTTGCAGGGAAGAAGATGCTGAGGGACGGCGGTTGGCGTCTCGTCGAGGGATGCGTCTCATAGGAACAAGGGCGGCATCACCTATAAGCGTGAAAGCACCTTCTCACATCCCGAACCCTGACCTTTTCTGTGAGGATCCATTGCAGGGCGCTGAAGAACGTCTCGAAGATCCTGCAGGAGGGTGCAGCCCCCATGCTGAGCATCCTCTCGCAGTTGTACCATCCACCATATGCAAAGCCGAGTGTTCCAGGCGAGGATGTTCCAGCCGCTGATGTTCCAACTGCTGGTGTTCCGACTGAGGAGGTTCCAGCCGATGATCCAGCAGCTGATGTTCCAGCTGGCAGTGTTCCAGCTGAAGTGTTCCAGTCGATGATGTTCCAGCTGAGGATGTTCCAGCCGGCGATGTTCCCTCTGCTGACGTTCTGGCTGCTGATGTCTCAGCCGCCGTTGCTCCAGCTGCCGAGATTCCAGCCGATGATCCAACAGCTAATGTCCCAGCTGGCGGTGTTCCAGCCGCCGATGTTCCAGCTGCTGATGTTCCGGTTGTTGTGGTTCCAGCCGATGATCCAGCAGCTTATGTTCCAGCTGAAGTTGTTCCAGCTGATGATGTTCCAGCCACTGATGTTCCAGCTACTGATGGTTTGGCTGATGCGGTTCCAGCCGATGCTCCAGCAGCTGATGTTCCAGCTGGCGGAGTTCCAGCAGAGGATGTTCCAGCCACTGATGTTCCAGCTGAGGGGGTTCCAGCCGATGATCCAGCAGCTGATGTTCCAGCTGGCAGTGTTCCAGTTGATAATGTTCCAGCAGCTGATGCTCCAGCTGAGGATGTTCCAACTGATGCTGTTCCAGCTGCTGACATTCCTGCTGCTGATGATCCAGCCGCGTTGCTCCAGCTGCCGAGGTTCCAGCCGATGATCCAACAGCTAATGTCCCAGCTGGCGGTGTTATAGCCGCCGATGTTCCAGCTGCTGATGTTCCGGTTGTTGAGGTTCCAGCGGATGATCCAGCAGCTGATGTTCCAGCTGGCAGAGTTCCAGCTGATGATGTTCCAGCCGCTGATGTTCCAGCTGCTGGTGTTCCGGCTGATGCAGTTCCAGCCGATGATCCAGCCGCTGATGTTCCAACTGAGGTGGTTCCAGCCGATGATCCAGCAGCTGATGTTCCAGCTGGCAGAGTTCCAGCAGAGGATGTTCCAGCCACTGATGTTCCAGCTGAGGGGGTTCCAGCCGATGATCCAGCAGCTGATGTTCCAGCTGGCGGAGTTCCAGCAGAGGATGCTCCAGCCGCTGATGTTCCAGCTGATGAGGTTCTAGCTGAATAGCTGGTAGCCGATGTTCCAGCTGGCGGTGTCCAGCTGAGGATGCTCCAGCTGCCGATGTTCCAGTTGGTGTGTTCCATCCGAAGATGTTCCAGCTGATGATGCTCTGGATGCTGAAGGGCAGCTGCAGATGTTCCAGCTGCTGAGGTTACAGCCAATGAGGTTCCAGCTGGTGGTCCAGCTGGCTAGATACCTTCGTGGGCGCCGCCCGTGTCCTCTTCCTCGCTGCGGGAGGGTAGTCCAGCTTCTCCGTACTGCGAAGATAGGAAACATAAGCAGACGGCAAGAGCAAATACGAATAACGTGGCAAATAAACAAATAACGCAAGGACCCCTACGTCTATATCACATACCAAGCAGAGGCAAAGAGGGAAGGGAAACCCGATAACGATAACAAGAAGGAAGGCTGAGACCCAGCCCTGAAGGGGACTTCGGCCCTGGCCGGACTGGACGCGGACGGGAGGAGAGAGAACCCCTCACGAAAGGACACTAATAAGAAAAAGACGTAACGAACTACGAAGCGTAAAGAGAGCGAATGCCACAACCAGAGAAAGAAGAAAAAAACCGAATACAAAAAACAGGAGGGAGGGCTAGACCAGGCCAGGAAAGAGAACTGTCCCTAGAAACAGCGTATAAAACGTGACGTGCGAAAGAGGGGGGAAAATAGTAAATAAGGCAAAGGGAAAAACGACGTCGGCCCCCCGAAGAGGGAAGGAGGCCGTCCAGACGAGAAAAGGGGGCTAGACAAATAATAAATAAAAGGAAATAACTAATAAAAGTACATAGTTAAATAATAAGCAAAATACGTAAATAAATTAAAATTTGAAAAGATTTTTTTTATTTGGGGGGGGGGGGGAACGAAACGAATAAAATTAATAAGTAAAGAGGTAGAACTGAAGAAACAAAATACTTAACTGAAGAAATAGATAAATAATAGAGGAACTAAACTGTTCCCAAGGAGCAGCACAGAAGACGTAGCAGGAGAAGGAGAAGATAAAGGAGACTAGATGAAAATAAATAAATGGAAAATAAAAATTAAATAAGATTAATACATAAATAATAACAAAACGTAATAAATATTCACTTGAAACAAGACGTGGAACAATAAAGGTGGAACAATAAGTAAATAAATAATTGCAAATAAAGAATCATAATATACTGAATAATTAAATAATAAATATTAGAGAAAAAAACTGTCCAAGAAACAGCACAGAAAACGTAGCGTGAGAAAGAGAAAGAAAAGAAGCCAGAGGACAACATACCTCCGAAGAAGGAAGGAAGGGACAGCCGAAAAGGGGGGGACATAACTATTTTATTTTTATTTTATTTATATATATACAAGAAGGTACATTGAAATTGTGAGGATACATAGCATAGTAATTACATTCTTGTAAAGCCACTAGTACGCGCAGCGTTTCGGGCAGGTCCCTAATCTAAGAAAAATTTTAAGTAGGTAAATACTTGCAAAATTTATAAAAATGATAACAGTTACATAGCAAGAAAAAAAATAAAAGATGAGAGAAAAATTGTAGGTATATTAAAGCACATTGGTAGCGCAGAATGATTGCAATGACAGCTTGAATGGTAGTTTAACAAAACTTAGCAGGCACAATACAGCATATGGCTAGCACATAAAAGAAGACAGCAATGAACACAATGATAAAGTTGTTTGGGTTACGTACATAAAGATTGGGAGATTGGGTAACACTAGATCAGTACTAACATTCAGATCCACCTATATAAGGCTCTAGTTCGGCCGCATCTAGAGTATCCCCCAGTACCACTACACACCATAAAGAAAACTAACATGCAGAAACTGCAAGCAGTGCAAAATAAGGCGCTAAGGAGAGCAGCAAAACACCGTCCACCATATGATCAGACAATCCAGGAGCTCCATGAACTCCTGAACATACAGCCACTAAACATCAGACTGCAGCACCAAGCCATCAGGGTGTGGAACACCATCGAAATGTTAGAGGACCCAATGTTAGAAAGATTACTCCAAGATGTGACGCCCCGCTCCCACAGCTGGTGGCCCAAGATGAGACGCCCCGCTCCCACAGCTGGTGGCCCAAGATGTGACGCCCCGCTCCCACAGCTGGTGGCCCAAGATGAGACGCCCCGCTGGTGGCCCAAGAGCCTCGATTCACTAGATGAAAACCCCGCCCTAAAGTACATAATTCCCAGATGAAATACTGACCAGATATTCTTCCCCCATAAATGAAAAATTGAGTATGTATGTGTGTATGTATGTGTATATGTATGTATGTGTGTGTGTATATGTATATGTATGTATGTGTGTGTGTATATGTATATGTATGTATGTGTGTGTATATATATGTATGTATGTATGTATGTATGTATATATATATATATATATATATATATATGCAAACAAGCCTGAATGGTCCCCAGGACTATATACAACTGAAAACTCACACCCCAGAAGTGACTCGAACCCATACTCCCACAACTGGTATGTACAGGGACGCCTTAATCCGCTTGACCATCACGACCGGACAAAAGGAAGTGATAGCCGAGGCTATATGAACCACTTCCCCGCCGGCACTCGGATGGTAATCTTGGGCATAGCATTTTATCAAATCACCTCATTCTTTGGGGCACACGTGAGGAACACAAATGCAAACAAGCCTGAATGGTCCCCAGGACTATATACAACTGAAAACTTATGAACGATAAAGGAAGTGGTTCATATAGCCTCGGCTATCACTTCCTTTTGTCCGGTCGTGATGGTCAAGCGGATTAAGGCGTCCCTGTACATACCAGTTGTGGGAGTATGGGTTCGAGTCACTTCTGGGGTGTGAGTTTTCAGTTGTATATAGTCCTGGGGACCATTCAGGCTTGTTTGCATTTGTGTTCCTCACGTGTGCCCCAAAGAATGAGGTGATTTGATAAAATGCTATGCCCAAGATTACCATCCGAGTGCCGGCGGGGAAGTGGTTCATATAGCCTCGGCTATCACTTCCTTTTGTCCGGTCGTGATGGTCAAGCGGATTAAGGCGTCCCTGTACATACCAGTTGTGGGAGTATGGGTTCGAGTCACTTCTGGGGTGTGAGTTTTCAGTTGTATATAGTCCTGGGGACCATTCAGGCTTGTTTGCATTTGTGTTCCTCACGTGTGCCCCAAAGAATGAGGTGATTTGATAAAATGCTATGCCCAAGATTACCATCCGAGTGCCGGCGGGGAAGTGGTTCATATAGCCTCGGCTATCACTTCCTTTTGTCCGGTCGTGATGGTCAAGCGGATTAAGGCGTCCCTGTACATACCAGTTGTGGGAGTATGGGTTCGAGTCACTTCTGGGGTGTGAGTTTTCAGTTGTATATAGTCCTGGGGACCATTCAGGCTTGTTTGCATTTGTGTTCCTCACGTGTGCCCCAAAGAATGAGGTGATTTGATAAAATGCTATGCCCAAGATTACCATCCGAGTGCCGGCGGGGAAGTGGTTCATATAGCCTCGGCTATCACTTCCTTTTGTCCGGTCGTGATGGTCAAGCGGATTAAGGCGTCCCTGTACATACCAGTTGTGGGAGTATGGGTTCGAGTCACTTCTGGGGTGTGAGTTTTCAGTTATATATATATATATATATATATATATATATATATATATATATATATATATATATATATATATATATATATATATATATATATATATATATATATATATATATATATATATATATATATATATATATGTATATATGTATATGTATATATATATATATATATATATATATATATATATATATATATATATATATATATATATATATATATATGTATGTATATGTATGTGTATGGGTGAGTATATGTATGTATATATGTGTATGTATGAACAACTCGATAAATAATAATATGTATCTATGAACAACTCGATAAATAATAATAATAAAATAAAGAGCCTTAAACAGAACAACATGTGTGGAAGCATCGGAGTGTGTACATATGAATGCTACACAGTATTCATCTATAGACATCCATATATGGTGAAACACATATGAAGAACCTCTCTTCACACTCACAGCTCCCTGACATGAGGGAGCAAGCTTAGCTGCCAACACCCACACATCGTGTCAGCAAGGCGGACAGCCCGCCTGCTTTCATACCTTTCACTGTATTTCCCACTTCTATACTTCCCTTCACCTATGCCTCTCCATCCTCTTTACTCAAAAAAAAAAAGATACAGAGCAAATTTAAAGCTCAGTGTAGGAAACTACGAAGATGAAATTAGGTACTTTTTGGTTTTGTTTTTAAATGAGGCAAAAGTTTGACAGCTTTTCAATTTATTAGGGAGTGAGTTCCATAGACTAGGCCCCTTAATATGCATGGAGTGTTTACACAGAATAAGTTTGACTCTGAGGATATTAAAGAGGTATTTATTTCTGGTGTAGTGATAATGGGTCCTATTACATCTATCCAGGGAGAGTTTCAGAGCTTGGTTTGCATTTAAGAACAGGGTTTTGTAAATGCAGTTGACACAAGAGAATGAGTGGAGGGAGTTAATATTTAGCAAGTTAAGGGATTTAAACAAGGGAGCTGAGTGTTGTCTGACAGCAGAGTTTGTTATTATTCTGATAGCAGATTTTTGCTGTGTGATAATGCAACCTGTCC